CTAATCACACCCACAGAGATAGCACACACTGGATGGCCAAGAAACAATGGGACTGGGATAGAAAAAACCCTTTTAGAATTCTCCCCGATGTGGACAGACACCAAATCATCAGTTTCAGCAAAAGGGATGAAGCATCAACCCTGACTTTGCCTGACAGAGGCTGAACAGACACATCCAAGCCCTGCTTGCTGAACAGTTACCTTCTGGAATAGAGCTGCAGGGATGGAAGGGACTAAAAGAAATAAGGGCTGAGCATTTAAAGATGCAGGTTTTTTTTTTTTTCCTTTGTTTCAAAAACTGAGAGTTTAGAGACCACCTTAATGCAGAGCTGCAAGTGAACACATCCAATTAAAAGCCCAAGAGTCACTACAAAAATAGGAATAAAAATCAAAGCAGCTGAGCTCTCCCCTCCCAGGTCCACTGCTCAATTTCCATGGACTCACTGGTCCAGTTTTCAGTAAACCACAAGTTCCTGATCAGGTTTTAAAGGATAATAATTGCAGATGAGTGCTTACAGTAAGGCAGACAAGTGGTAGTTCTCCCCCAGAAGTGCCTGACAGAGAACACTGCTTGCCATGAGAAGGCCACTGGGGTACTGAGTGCCCCAAAACAGCCTCCAAGCTGCTGGAACAACCCTGGAGGTGCCACACAGAGAACAGCCCACTGTGGTGGTCTGGGGATTGGGTCAGGAAGGGTGCACAGGGCAAGCTGTTTTTGAAACAACACCCTGAACTGCAATTGTGCACCCCTCAGCTCCCCCTCCCCGTGACAAACCTTGCTCTTGAACACTGCATCTTTAAATATTCCTGGCTATGAGCTCCTGCCACGTGTTAGGAGCACTCCAACCTGGCTGCCACATGTTCAAGGGCTGTGCTTTTTGTGTGTGTTTTCAGTCTCCCTTCAATGTGGAGGGAAAAAGGAGGCAGAGGGGGGACAAAAAGTTTGCATTTCCCAGCAGGCAGACTCTGGCTGAAGGTGTAAAGCCTCTCCAGGCAGGTTACAGAAGTGAGAAAAAAAAAATAATTAGGGTGCTTGCTCCCTTCTAGAACATTCCCCTCGAGTTTGTAATCAGATGCAGTGATAGCAGCAAGTTAGGAAAGTCAGCAAGTTTTAAAAGGGAAGTGTTAAGGGAGAGAGGAAGCTTTGCTGCCAAGTCACCTAACTGAGAAGAGCAGAAGAGTCTCCAGCTTTGGAATTTTATAACTTAAGCAAGATCTGAGCAGTACTGGGAGAGCACAAACCACACCTGTGATCAACTCAGCTGTGCTCTGATTCCTTCCCCTCCCCTGCCTGCCTTTTCACCAGCCAACAGAGATCATGCTCACGAGACCAGACAGCATGTCCTGAACATGTCAGGGTGTGTTTCCAAAAAGAACAGCACTTCAATGAAATGAAAAAGGTGCAACCGTTGGGAGAGCTGTGGAGCAGCAGCTGAAATACCTTGGGACAGCCTGAGCTGTGACCCACTCAGATCACAGACCCACACCAGCTCTCCCATGGGCTTTGCTGCCCTCCTGAGAAGGTGACTGACTCCCAAGAGGCCACCTCAAGGGAGCAGAAAGCTGCACCATCCCCAGAATGGCCACTGCCATGAACCTGCTAATATGGGTTTCACTTTGAGACCAGAAAACTGTTTTCTTCCAAAAAATTGTTATTTTTAAAAAACTGAAATTAATTAGGGGTAAAACACTAACTCTAGTGCCATGAACAGGCAGGATCAACTTTTTTCCCCTCCAAAGGGCAAAGAGTCATATACCATCCCCAGCTGAACCTTGGTGCTTCGAGCTTTTCAGGAGATGTTACCTAAACTTTATTAAAAGAAAAAGAACAATGTTTAAATATCAACACTGGACTAGCCCAGTCTTTTTTTTCCAAAGTCCACATTCTTCATATGAAGCACACACGACATCCTGGATTCCCCAAGGCTGCATGTTCAGAAGTTCACAGTACATGGAACCATGTCTTTTTTTGTTTTGCTTGTTTGTTTTTGTATTTCCTTGAGTTTCCCTTCCTTGCTCAGAGCAACCAACCCTTTTGTGGTCATTTACTGGATCAACCTCAAGCCACCTCCTATCCACATGGCTTGGCCTAGATGCTGAAGGTTTTTCTTGATGAGAGTTGATGTTGTCATGCTCTATGGATGGAAAAAAGCAAGAGAAAAAAAAGCACCTGGTACAGGTTTCTTGAGACCCTCACGGATTCCTCTTATTCCAAAGCTGTTTCTGAAAGTCTTGTTGCCGGTTTCTCAAGCAGTTTTGTTGTGGGTTGTTTTGGGGCTTTTTTTTTGCCTGTTACTCTGTCTCAGTTTGAAGAGCTGTTATTGGATGATCCAGAGGTGGATGCAATTGCAGCTCCAGCTGGGCTGCTGGTGGATACAGATTTCCGGATGTGAGGCAGCAAGTAGGGGTCACAAGCCAACTGCTGGACGTCTATCCGGTCCTCCTTGCGGTAGGCCAGGCAGCGCCGGATGAACGCCTGCAGACACCCCGGGGGCAAGAGAGGCATTAGGAGAGGGACAAGGGAGGCCAAGGAGCTGTTGGAGCAATCCAGAGAAGGTCAGCAAGATGATCTGAGAGCTGGAGCAGCTCTGGAGCCAGGCTGGGAGAGTTGGGGTGGAGCCTGGAGAAGAGAAGGCTCCAGGGAGACCTTAGAGCAGCTTCCAGTGCCTGAAGGGGCTCCAGGAAAGCTGGGGAGGGGCTTGGGACATGGGATGAGGGGGAATGGATTAAAACCGGAAGAGGGGAGATTCAGGTGAGACATGAGGAAGAATTTCTTCACTAGGAACTTGGAGAGACACTGGAACAGGTTGCTCAGGGAAGCTGTGGCTGCCCCATCCCTGGCAGTGTTGAAGGGCAGGTTGGATGGGGCTTGGAGCAACCTGGGCTGGTGGGAGGTGTCCCTGCCCATGGCAGAGAATTGGGATTAGAGGATGTTTAAGGTCCCTCCAATCCAAACCAGGCTGGAATTCTATAAATCTTTGGGAGCAGGGCCAATCTGACAACCCCAGGGCTGAAATTCCTCCCCCAGTGCCCTCAGCCAGCCCAGCTCCTACACCAGCTCATCTGTCATCAGCAGAGAGCAGGGGCAGTAGAACCCTCTGCTCCATCCCCAGCCTGATAGCTACCAGGGAAAGCCACTGACCACTCTGCAGGAGGCCAGCACTGAACATTCCTGCAGATTTAGGAAAACCGAGGTGGAACTGCCAGAACCTCCCACACAGGGTGATCAAACTCACTGCAAGATGATTTACCTTTGCTTCTGGTGTGACTACTGGCTTTGGAGGGAACTGCACCTCGGTAGCTTTCAGAATTGTGTTCTCCTGCAGAATATCTTGTTGTGACTGGTTGTGACCAAAGGGCTACCAAAAAATGAAAGAGAGTCGTTAAAGGTTGATGACAGGCCTCAAAAACCCCTCACATCACTGTTCATCATCACCTGAAATCAGCATCTTTCCAGGCAAGAAGCCCATGAATGTTGTGAAGGTGCTACAGGGCCCAGTGAGATGAGCAGGACATTTCTCCCACACTTAAACTAAACAAAAGGGACTAAGCTGGAACATGTTTGAGGCATCTCCAGCTCAGGCTGGAGGAATCTCTACCTGCTTCCAGACCTTGTAAGTCAGCTTCAGCATGTGCAAGGGGGCCTTTACCTTCCCAAGTCAACAGGAATTTCACCCACTTCACTCTGCTGGTTCCACTGCTGACGTGACAGCACTCAACAGTGTTTGTCAGCCCAGGCTTTCACCACACCTGGTTACCAAGGACTCATGAAAACAAGAGTTGATGGAATCCTTTTCCTGTGCCAACCCAGCTCTTCTGCTGTCATGAAACAAATCACTTTTCCTGACCCAGACTCTTCCCTTCCCCAAGCCAGCCTAGGAAGTTCTAGAGTGGGTCTTGGTACCTACTATTTTTTTTCCTACAACACTTGCAGTCATCAAGCAGCATCAGGCTTGACAAAGACTTAGCTCACTGAAAGCATCACAGAACAAAGCCAGGCCAAGAACCTCACAGGTGTCTGGCCCTGAAATTCTTCTCCTGCTTTTAATGGCCTCCATGGGAAGATGCCCAGTGGTAAGAGATGTTCTGCAGAACATTGCTCCTGAAGGAAGTGCCATGTAGAGCAAAACACAACCAAGGTCTCCCCATTCAAGGCATGGATTTTGCCTTGGAACTGACAGCAAGGAGACAGGGTGGAAGCACCTTCTAAGCCTGGGGAGGAGAAGGAAGCAGAAGGCAGGGCAGCCTCCCAAAAAGTTTGGGAATCATCACTAGGAAAGGAGTTAAATAATGTCTTCTTACCTTTCTGCCATAGAGACACTGATAGAAGATGACTCCCACTGACCAGACATCAACTTTATTTGAAATCTTTGGAGGTTCTTTCCCAACCACAAAACATTCTGGTGGCAAATACCTGATTAGAAGGAAGTGACAACAGGTTATGAGGAACATCTAGAAATACTTTCAGTAATCTTCGTTAGAAAGAAAGGAACAAACTCCCGTGATCAGATACTGGTTTGGGACTTGAAGGTCCCAATTTCATTCCTGTGCATCATTGGTCCAAGATCATCAATGATCCAAGATCATCTCCTTCTGGGAACAGGGATCCAAGGACTCTCCAGACACTCATGGTTCGAGCTAGTTAGCACAGTCAACTTCTTTCACCAGAGCACACAAAATAATCCCATTTCCTTTTATCTTCAGAACTGGTATTTGTTGTTAAAGAGCTTGGCCAACAATTCCACAATAGAAAGACACAGCCAAAATACATATTTCTAGAAATACAACCCCAGATGCCACGTCCTAGTCAGACACTCAGCCTCAAACTGCAGCTAGTTTCATTTTTAGGAACAGAAGAGCTCTACAACACAGCATGTCTTAACAAATGTTCCTGTGCAACTGTTGCCCATAGAGACACTCTGCAGCTTGGGTAACATCACAGAATCATAGAATGGTTTGGGTTGGAAGGAACCTTAAAGATCATCCAGTTCCAACCCCCTGCATGGGCAGGGACACCTCCCACCAGCCCAGGCTGCTCCAAGCCCCATCCAACCTGCCCTTCAACACTGCCAGGGATGGGGCAGCCATAGCTTCTCTGGGCAACCTGTTCCAGGGTCTCATGACCCTCATCACCAAGAACCACACTTGGTGGCACCCTCTGCAGTTCCTGCTCTCAGCCACAGGAGATGCAGTGACAACAAAGGATAACGTACTGCTGAAAACATCTTCCACATGACACTGAAGGGAAGCTCTGGCTGTAGACAGCCCTGTCAGATTTACATCTCCTGTAAAATCTAACTATGGATTTTCACCCCTCTCATTTCAGTGGAATCCTCTTTCCATCTCCCTGATGTCCCTGAATTTCCAAATACCTGTGGCATTCCCCTCCTTCCTGCCTAAACTGTTCAACAGGGCCATTATGGTCTGTGAAACAGCAGCCAAGTCCCACTCCAGAGCTCACTATCTCAGCAGCATATGCCACTTTTCACCAGGCCCTTTGGATAAGAGATGGTTTTCAAACATATAAACACTAACCCACTGAAAAGGAAAGCTGCCAGCCTCAAAAGGAGCTGTGTGACAACAAGAGCAGTTTCCAGGGTCTCAAACCTCCACTGTCTCAAGCTGTCACAATGGCAGCACATACAGAGCTGACACTGATCCAAAGCTGTTTATAAACTGTTCTTGATCTCTAACTTGCAAGTACCCCAGGCAACACTTACCAGTAAGTACCAGCCCCCTGTGATGTCAGTTCCATGCCATCAACAGAGTTGTAGCTATCATCATCCATGATTTTGGAAAGTCCAAAATCTGTGATTTTTATCTCTCCACATGCAGTACCATTGACTAGAAGAATGTTACCTAGACAGAGAAAAGAAATAGCTCCTTAGGATACACATCTAGCAGGAAAAAAAACCAAGAACAAAATTGGATTGAACTCTGGCACCCTGTATGAGGGGACAAGGAATCTACCCAGGGAGCTGCAGCAGCTTGGGGTAGATGTTATAGGACTCAATATCCCCAGCTCCAAAGATAAGTCAGTTCTCACTAACTGCTGGAACTGATCTGCCCATCCTTGAATGACCCAGTGGCCTGACATGACTTGGAGCCTCCTGATCCAGAGCCCCAGCAGCCAAATGAGTTTGATGCCCTTGCTATTTGACCCCTCCCAAAGATCCCCTTGGAAGGGCAGGTCAAAAATGAGGATTAAGGAGAGAAGTTATGACTCAGTCTGCCCAGAAGTCCTGACTTGCCCTGGCCTCTCAACAAGCCAGAAACTCCCTCCTTCCTGGCAGTGCTCCCCAGTGGCTTTCTAAGCTCAGAAAGGACAATTAGTGTTTAGGCAAGAGTCTTTTTACAAATCCATCAAGGATCAAGAAGTCAGATCATCACTGTTTTCCTCAAAGCCTGCAATAAAGCAGCAGAATCGTGCATGATGGCAGGGGATGAATCAGAGCTTTAGACAACTGTGGGCAGAGCTCTGCAGCTCCAACACCAGCAGCTGGGGGAAGAGCCAGGGTCACTAGAGCTAGTGCAACAGCACCACCTCCTGCACGGATTCCTCATGCTGATGCAACAAACCACATCACACACACAGTTACACAATGCTGATGGAGTGCCACCAGTGTAGGGAGACAAGCCAGGGATAACTGCTGGAAGAGGTGGCTGAATTTTACTGGGCTAGGAAAAAGCTATGCAGCCAGCACAAAGCATCCCACAGGAGAGCACTTCCATGTATCCCCTGGTGACCCTGCCCAACGACAAAGGGAAAGCTGCAGCAACATCTGGAGAAGACTTTCTCTGTGGCAGATGTTGCTGAATGCAAAGGCAGAGCCAGAAGTTTGACTTTGTGTCCTCAGCTTTGTGAGCTGCCCCGTGGTATGAAAAACCAAACACTTCCAAGTCAGCTTCTGCCACCAGATTCTCAGGCAGATGATTACAGAAAGAATAAGCCAGAAGAATGGGAACATGAAACAGTGGTAATTATGGAAACCTTTATGAAGCAATAACAGAAGCTCAACAGCAGAATACAAGAAGGACATTAAGAAACCAAACACAGATACTTGGTGGTTCAAGGGCTCGTTCTGAACAAGGAGGCTACTTTTTCTGGAATGTTGCTTCCTTGGTTTATGTTGCAATTCTGGGAGACAATACCCTTTTCACAGCATGTTCTGTGCATTTGAGGGTTTTTTTGGCTTGTTGCAAGTGAAGTTTTCCCAGACAGCCCTGTCTCCTTTTTGCTGTCTGACCAAATTAAACTTCCCCACCTTAGTTATAAACCCATTACCTCTCACGAGCATCCTTAAGCACATCAGCTAGCAGCACAGCATACCTGGTTTAAGGTCATAGTGTATGATGGGAGGTTTGATTTCATTTAGGTATTTTAAAGCATTCACAATCTGCATGATAATGGATCGTGCCTCTTTCTCCGACATTAACTTGTGTTGTTTCAGGTAGAAGTCCAGATCATTCCCCTCACAGTATTCTAACACTGTACAAAACCTGAAGGCAAAACAGTAGATGCTGTAATTAAGGCACCTGAGAGAAGCCAGAATACTTTGCTATTGCTTATCTGTAAGGCTCACCTATTTGGTCAATAAATTAAATTAAACGGTCTCCATCCTATTCATCCTGTTCTATAAATAAGCCACCAGGAACACAGTCCTCAACAGTACAGAGGTCAGAGATGCCCCATGAAGTGCTGGATCATAGAATCACAGAACTTGTGAGGTTGGAAGGGACCTTTAAAGGTCATCTAGTCCAGCCCCCTGAAGTGCTCAGGGACCTTTTTAACTACATCAGGTTGCTCAGAGCCTGGTCAATCCCGACCTTGAATGTGTCCAGGGATGGGGCCTTCACCTCCTCTCTGGGCAACTTGTTCCAGTGCTTCCCCACCCTCATAGTAAAGAACTTCTTCCTAATATCCAGTCTAAATCTCCCCTGCTCTGGTTTAAGGTCATTGCCCCTCATCCTATTGCTACACAACCTTGTCAAAAGCCTCTCCCCAGCTTTCCTGGAGCCCCCTCAGGCACTGGAAGGTGCTCTAAGGTCTACCCAGAGCCTTCTCCAGACCCAACTCTTTCAGCCTGTCTTTGTAGGAGAGCTGCTCCAGCCCTCAGATAATTTCTGTGGTCCTTCTCTGGACTAATTCCAACAGGTCCATGTCCCTCTTGTGCTGAGGACTCTAGAGCTGGACACAGATCCAGCAGCAGGAAGCCATATCAGCTGGGACATTTGCTCAGGCCGACAAGGAGCAGGATTTACTGGTAAAGCACAACATCTGGCCAATTACAGCACACAGGCCAGTGAGCTAGTGCCTTAGAACACTGCTAAACACTGCAAGTGCCTCAGACACCTCTGCAGTACAGGATATTAAATGGGTGTGGACATTCTCTGGGCTCTCCTGGAAAGCTTGAAGAGACCAAATACTTTGTTTCTAGTGAATGGGTCAAAAGAAGTCAAATAGCAACACAACTTACGAGTCAGTATCCAGCGAGAAGTAGTCATAGAGCTTCACTATTCGAGGGTGATCCAGTTCTTTGTGAATTCTGTACTCTCTACATGCATGTCTGGAAAGAGGAAAGTCTGAGCATCAGTCATACAAGTGAATTCATTCTAAGTTCTGATAGTGAACCCAGACATTCCACACAGAGGTCCAACTTCAATCCAACCCATGCACATTATTCAGAGAGCTCAAGAAAACCGAGCAGAACAGCTCTTGAGAACCACAGACTCTGAGTGCATCTCAATCACTGGCAGTACTACAAAATAACTCATCTTGATTGAGGGTACTGCTTGCCAAGACAGAATAACCTCTGAATAAATTGTTAAGGGATCCAAGATAGCTGAATATAAAAATCAGAAAGTTCTAGAAAAAATCCAGGATGAAGCTCAACTTCCAGCCTTCAAATTCAGCTTAGTTTGTCCCAGTGATTTGTTAAGGAATTAAGATCACAGCTTTATCTTTGAAGGTCAGTCAAGAAGGCTTGGCTGCCTTTCTGCAGAGCTTATCTAATCCATAACCTTAGGGACCAAGTGCTGGCCACACCAAAAGGCTTCCTGTGCCTCCCTTCTAGGCTATGACACATTGCAGTTCTGAAATCATTAAATACTCCAGGAAACAAAAGGAAGGGAAAGGCTTTAGGGGAGCACAGTGCAGGTGTGTACCTGGAAGATGGGCACAAACAACTGTTTCCCACAAGAGCAGAGATCAGACATGTCAGAGAGGACAAACCACTTCAAAGCTTTTGTCCTAGAGCACTACTGGTGCTTTAAAACCTTGTGCATACACAAAACTCAGTGTTGTGTACATTCAAAACATTTCTGATCTGACCAGAACTTTAGCAAGTAGCTACTGGGCCAGAGAGTGGCTTTTGAAATGTGGCAAAACACAGGGGAAGAAAAAATACATTCACAGGCACTGGATAATCAAATACAGGAGGAGTTTGGAAACATGGCTGGCTGCTTTGCAGCCTTGCTTACTTGTGATAGTTTTCTTTCTTCTCATCTCTCCAGTTTTTATTTAACTGGTGTATTTTCACAGCTACATATCTTTGTTCTGTTAAATCAAATGCCTGCAGAGAGAAGAGCTGAAGATCAGTAGGAATCACAACTTCAAGTTAATACAGCAAAAGCAGACAAGCTGCAACAAACCAATATCCCCACCCAGGAAATCAGCATTACAACATATTGAGTGAAGAGCAAACCCACATTTTGATGTAATTAGATTCACTAATGAAACCAAGCAACTCTGAAAACAATTGAATATTCTGTGCTTTGATCTGACCTTCCCCATAGGCTCTAATGCTGCATTTATTCTGACATTTTACCACCAGAGCTACAATGGGCTCAGAAAGGCCAAATTACCAAAATATAGACAGTTAATCACACTGGAAAAGACCCTGCCATGATTCATTCCCCCAGGCCACCTAACTCATTTTCTACACTCAGTTCAAGAAGTCTAAACCATACAGAGGATTTTCAAGACTTTGTTTCACATTGGTGGCACAGCTCTCCATCCTGGAGCATAACCATAGAATGTCTTGGGTTGGAAGGGACCTCTAAAGGTCATCTAGTCCAAGCCCCCTACAATAAGCAGGGACATCTCCAACTAGAACAGATTGCTCAGATCATTTTCATGGCCTCCTCTGGACATTGTCCAACAGGTCCACATCCTTCTGGTGTTGGGGGCTCCAGAGCTGGACACAGTGATCCAGGTGAGGTCTCACCAGGGCAGAGTAGAGGGGCAGAATCACCTCTCTCCATCTGCTGGCCACATTTCTTTGCATGCAGCCCAGGAAGAGGTTGGCCCTCTGGGTGTCCCTGCCCACGCAGGGGGGGTTGGAATCTTTAAGGTCCTTTCCAACCCAAACCGTTCCATGATTCTATGGTTATTCTATGATAAATTGTGTCCATCTCAAAAGTTATACACTTAAATCCTAACGCTTAATATATTGGCCAAGACTCTGCAGAGGAAGGACTAAGCATTTCTTTGTTCTAATAATACAGCACAGCTCCCAAGCACAGTCAGGTATGAACCATTCATACCCTCTTGCTTTCATCTGTGGAGCCAAGGCTTTCTACTGAGTCAGCAAAGCCTCCAAAGAGCAATTTAAGGTACTTACATACAGATCACACTCTTTTTTTTCCACTACCTGAGCAGTTCAGACCCCCTGGTTTAGATACCTATTGTTGTACTGCATCAAAATAATAACTGGCTGTGAAGTTTCCAATATTTGCATTGGCAGTTAGTTTTATTCCAGCCAAATTCAACATGAATTAAGAACTACTGGGTATAAATGAGGAATATTTTGAACTGGAAAGGCCCAGTAGTCAAATAGCAAGCACAGAAGTATCACAGGTCTTGGCCATACAAGAGTGCTGACACACAAGTAATCCTCAGTTCCAAAGAAGTCCCAAGGCTACACAAACCCTTCCACTCTGCTTCTTCAGAGCATAAAATGAAGACACATGAAAAAAAAAAAAAGCCTTCTACTCCCAGGAAATAGAGGCTTTGCTCCTTTTATGGGAGCTATTTGCTCTTCTTTACAGTGAGGCTCAGGCTGGCTCTGTGACACTCAACAAAACTTTGCTACTTAAGGTATTTGTGTGTAGCACTTGAAGAAACAAGTGGTTTGCTTCCATGTCCTGACAAAACTTGCAGACTTGGTGCAGCATTTTCTTGAAACACACATTTGCACAAAATCTGACCTCTGAGGACAGGGGAAGAACCTAAAAAAAAAAAAATCATCTCCAGCCTGCTGCCTAATGCAAGCCAGATGCAGCATGTGCTTTGTTCTCCACCTTCTCCCCTCCACAACCACACACACCATTAAGAAAACAAGTGTAAAAATTCTGCTTACTGCAATATTTCACTGCAGACTCAGATTACACCACAGACTGCCACTTCAAATTTACCTTATATACTTCACTGAAGCCACCTCTACCCAGGAGATGTAGCAACAAGTATCTATCATTTAGCGTTGGATGGTCTTTAAATCTGGTGAGAAAGAGACAGTTTAATAACACTGACAGAAGGAATGTTGGACAATAAATTACAGCTACTACAGAGCTCAGAAACAATCATTACATTCATTTTAATATATTATTAAGACAGGAAAATGTTAAAACTGTGTTAATGACTGACAGATTTGATACTATTTGGTCACTTTGCACCTCCATGCACCTGGAAGCCTTTGTCTTACATGAACTTCAGGTTCTATCACTGTGCTGCCCCCCAGTCAAGTGACATTATGTTGTAACATCCATTTAAAATAAAAAGGATTGTTTCTTATTTATGAAGGAGACAAATCAAACATTGTTACACCTTCTTGTCCCTGAATCCCATGTGCTTACTGTGAATTATCTTCATTGTGTATCCTTTTCAATTCCCTGATATGTAGATTTCTAACCCTCTCTAGCCGTTCCAGCTCTGCCTGGATCTCTGCTTCTTCCTGCACGAGGGAAAAACCACAAGGAAAACACAACACTGTGTGAGTTGGTGCAGTTAGCATGCCTGCCTGCATGGACAGAAACACAACTGTAATTCCACTTGTGAAGTAGTTATTGGGAAGTCACTTGTTTGGGTGATTAGAGATATGGTCACAGTCGACTAAGAGTCAGGTGGAAGGTGGCAGGAATGAAAACAGGGCAGTTTCATTGACACCTACACAGAGACAAGAGCAAGACACAGCTTTACACCTTCTTGTTTTTAACATTTTCTGTAATTAAGAAGCCTTGCTGTTCTGGTTCTGCTCCTTCCCTGACTGCTAGGTAGCTGTTCTGCAGGAACTCAGCCTCTGCTGGTTCAAGAGGAAGAGGACAGCCCAGAGAAGTAAGAAAGAAACAGGGATGTCATGATGCTGGATGGGGCAGCATCTGGAAAGAATGGAGAATGTGAAAGGCCAACATTGGGTCCTGTTAGTGGTAGAGCAGTGTAACTTAGTACCATGTGGAAGTTCTGATGTGCTTTTTGTGGAGCTGCAAGTTCTTGTGCCCTCAAACATGACAGTAGAATTCACATCAGTGTGGACAGAGTTGCAAACCTCAATTGAAACGAGCACCTTGAGCAGTATTATTTGGCACATGTGACTCAAGGGACATAGTTGCCCATTTGTCTTGTGACTCTGCTCCTTCCCTCCTCAACTTGTTCTATTTTTAGGCATAAAGAATGAGCCAGTTTCCAAAAGTGGAGAAGGATAAGCACAGCTTCAGACAATACCACGATCCCAGAACATTACTTCATTTTCCATTAAGGTCCATTTCCAAATGGATTCCTCTGTCCCAGGGTTGCACACCACATGCCAGGACCTGCAATTAATCCCCTGCAGCAATGTGGAGGCTGTGGAGCAAGCATTCCTCTGGCATCCTCCTGCCCCTATCACTTAGCTTTGCCCACAGGTCAATCACACACTATGGGCAGAGTGCCAGCAGATTCCATGTGGGCAATAACTTTTCCTTGCCACTGAAAATAACAAAGAGTCCAACAGCATTCACAGGGCCTCCCATTCAATTAGTGTATCAAGGTTCCAGAAAATAAGAGCTCAGGCACCACCTGAGAAAAGCAGGGGGTTCCAGGAATGCATCTGCACATTTCTTCTTTCTTTCATATGGGAAAGAAAACTTTTTGGCCTGAGCAGAGATCACAGCTAACCAGGAAATGGCAGAAGACAACCATTATTTTCTTTCAGTACTTCATCTGTTGAAGTGTCCCAGAAAATTTAGATGTTATTGCAATCATTTCAAAGTTAAGTAACAGCTTATTTAAGTATAACCCTCCTTGCAGGTCCAGCTTCTACTGAAGCCAATGGATTAGAAAACAAACATGCTTTATAACCTCAACAGCACCATTTTCCAAAAGATTTTACTGGATTGCTCCTGATAGTGCTGGTTACTCAAAGAAATAGGAAAGCCAGTGATGGCTTTTGGTTGTGTTCTTACAACTTCCTTCCCTGGTCCATTCCTTCATATTTCCCCCATGTCAGACACCTACAGAGCCCAGCACTGAGCAAATTATAGTGACAGAAGATGATGCACCAAACCAGTGGAGCTCCTTGCATGGAATTATAACCACAGCAACAGAGAAATCTATTTATTGAAGCAAAGAACATCTTTGCTGAACACCACTGCCTTGGGAAAAATTATTACAAAATCCCAGCCATCCCCTTCAAGCACCAAAAACCTCTCAATTATCCAACAGCAGTGACCCCTACAGAGAAATGCTGTTGTTCAGAGAACACTGTATCAAAACCTACCACTCTAAAAGCCTTTTCTGCAGTTAGTTCTTACCTTTTTAAGATGACCTAGTCGGAGTTTGAAGATTTCCTCCTGTTCATGGTATTCTGCTAATGTTAACCTGCAGAGAAGAGACAGACCCACTGCATTAGGTTTCAGTGCATGTGGTGAAAGGAACAGTCTGCAGAACCCTCATCACCAGAGGGAGTGACAACAATGTGGAGTATGTCAACAGGAAATTGTTTTTAGGTAAACTCTACAACACATATTTTTTCCTTATAGTCAATCTAAAGGAGGCCAAAATCTTAAATCTTGATAAACAACATTAATTTCAAATCCAAGTCCCTCAAATACCTATTTTGGCCAGTGACTGGTTTTTAACCACAACAGCTAAACCATAATCTAAATACCCAACACTGAAGCACAGTTATGCTGTATTTTATTTTTCCATTTGAAGTTCACTTCACTGATTTCCTTTTCTATTTTTCTCTGTAATAAAAGCTGGATAATTAAACCCAGCTCTTCACACTGGGATTAGAAGGGCATGTGGCCACAGAGATGAGACAGAGGGAAAGCACAGTCTTACAGCAAAATAATGACAGATCCCATCACTAGTGAAAGGTAACAATGTGCTGAGATCTTTAAGGTTAGAAAGATGAATTATTATACTTATTTTTCTCACTGCTACCAACAAGGAGCATGGTAAAAGCATCACACCTGAGCAGAAAATTATGAAGCCCACATCAATTGCATGAGTTTACTTTGTAAACAAGATACACCTGTGACAGCACATAAACGTCTTTTTTGAACCTAAATGGAGTTCAAAGCATATCCCACAAGGATTCCTGTTGCAGCAGGTATGCTCTGCATAGTACTTAGTACAAAGGTGAGTGCACAAGGTCTCCACAGCACCAAAACCACAACCAGTGTGAAAGTGGCTTGAGTCCTGTCGGCAGGGCTGTGGGACCTCAGCTGAATTCAGTAAACTGAGAGCAGCTGAGTGCTCAGGATGCCCCAACTTCTCTCCACTGTTGATAAAAAGGGTTCACATAATTGAAATAAGTACTAGAGTAGTTCTTGGCTGATAAATATAATGTAAAACTCACAAGCCAAGTTCCCTTTGAAAGGATCTTGACCACAAGGAACCACTTATTGCAAACTACAGACACACACAAACCACAGCCAGCACCATCAAGGTTCACATGCTGCCTCCTTTCACACCAAAACATGCTAATTTACACCCCCACCCTCCCCCAGCACCACTCTGACTTTTCATCAGCTTCAGCTAATCTAAAAGGCCACCCCAAAAGTTTAGGTCTTTGCTTGGTGTTGCTGTAAAAGGAATAAAAAGACAACTGAACAAACCAGCAATGAGCTTTGCTCATATTCTTGTGCACAAATTAACTACAGAGCTACACACTAACAGGCTACTCATTAAGCAAGGGATGTAATGAGCACCACCAGGCTAATGCTGCCCAAAATAGCTGCCTGTTGGCAGCAGTGTTACAAAAATGAAGGGGCTCTAAGAGAAACACTGCCCTGTTTCACAGAAACATGCTTGAAAAACACTACTCCTAGTGCAGCTGAAGACTCTAAGGTTGGCCAAGCTGCCCTAATGAACCTCAAAAAGGCCCAGCAGACTAATCTTCCTGATTGAATGAAAAGCTTTTTCTCATTCACAGGCTAGCAACTAGTTTCAGGAGAGTGCATGCTTCAATTTGCATCACGGGACCTTCCTCTCCTTTTTAAGACACAGCAACAGCCATGAACAAAAGAGGAAGCAATAAATAAATAAATAAATAATTGAAGGGTTTTGGCTGTCTGCTTCTCATTCAACTTTCAGAAACATTTATATTCAACTTGCCTAAAAGGCAGCCTCTGCAAGAATTCCACAGGAAAAAAAAACAACTCCCTCCAAAAACCAGAACATTTTGTACCTGATACTCATTGGTCCAACAGTTGCACTTACAGGGTAACTACTGGTTAACAAGTCAGTACAGTTGCTTCTGCTGACTTGCAAAAACAATGTTTTCATTGCTCATTTTCATAAGCTAAAACACTTCACATGAACCACATCCATACACTGGTAAGAAGGCCACAAGAAGGTCTTCTAAACCACAAAGATAAAACCCTGAAATGTATCAGTGAGGAATGATAAAATAGCAAGTAACACAAAGAAAGAGACCTGGTAGCACAAAAAGGCTCATTACAGAGCCAGGTAAAGCTAGATGACAGCAAGGGAGGCTCACACCAGCTCCAGTGCTATCACTGACATTACCCTGATTTCCAGGGACATCAAGATCCGTGCTGCCATGTCTGCAGAGTAAATCACCCTACAGCTCCACCAGTCTGCTGGGGAAACACCAAAAATCATCACTACAGAAACAAGGAAAGCATCAGCATCCTGCTTGAGGGCTCTGGTAGATTGAGGACCACAGACATCGTGATTCACGCAGTCATGTGCTACCTCTGCTGTGAGTGCAAAGGCAGGGGGAGCTTTTGTTTTGCATGCAAATTTGGAGAGCAGGACTGTCAAGGACACTGGTAGAAAGCACAGGAAAATCACAGAATGGTTGAGGTTGGAAAGGACCTTAAAATCACCTAGATCCAATCCCCCCTGCATGGGCAGGGACACCTCCCACCAGCCCAGGTTGCTCCAAGCCCCATCCAACCTGCCCTTCAACACTGCCAGGGATGGGGCAGCCACAGCTTCTCTGGGCAACCTGGGCCAGGGTCTTACCACCCTCACAACAAAGAATCTCCTCCTCATGTCTCACCTAAATCTCCCTCTTCCACTTTTCATCCATCCCCCCTCATCCCACTCCTCCCTGCCCTTGTCCCAAGCCCCTCCCCAGCTTTCCTGGAGCCTCTTCAGGCACTGGTAGCTGCTCTAAGGTCTCCCTGGAGCCTTCTCTTCTCCAGGCTGAACACCCCAACTCTCCCAGCCTGGCTCCAGAGCAGAGCTGCTCCAGCCCTCCCATCATCTCCATGGCCTTGCCACTCTGACCTAACATACTTCCGACTCACAGAAACTTCCAAAAAAATAATGTTCTTAATTTCTTGTGAGACACAGCTTTCCTCTCCAAGAACATCACGACTCTTAGAGCATCAGTAACTTAAAAAGAGTTCGGGGGGGGGGAAAAAAAAAAAAAAAAATCTTCTGTAAGAAGAAAGAGCAGCACTTCAAGTACTTTTCAACTTTCCTGACTGCAAAGGACTCTTCACAGGTCAGTGCTTAATGAACTGTCTCTCTAGAGGCATCTTTTTTCTTCAGTATACCAAATTAATTGTTTGAAAAGCCTCACCAGAAAGCTCATGGAAATAAAGGCTTCAAGATGTGTGCAATTTTTGTTCCTTAAAAATAAAGCACCATGTAACACACAAAGTGATACCAAAATCAGTTCTGAAGTTGCCACACTTCAGAAAGAGACACCACTTCTCAATTTGATGCAACAGGATCACTGGAAAAATGACTGCATTCAAAAAAAAAGAAAAAAAGAGTGAAGCTCACAAAGTCTGGACTCAGCAATGATCCTTGTTTTACTCCAACGAAAACTATTTCGAACTGCAGCCAGATGTTGCTGAATGCCAGGCTAATTCCACAATACTCATTTGTGCATGGAGTGAAGCCTAGAGGCAAGGGCAAGATTCCATTTCCCAGGAGATATGTTGTGCTCTAACCAAAGCATGCAGCTCTGCACTCCACCAAGGAGGCCACAGAACCTACGTTTCATTTTCTGCTCCGTTGGTCTTGTTCTTGCGCTGCTTCTGCTCGTTGCTTGCTGGGGGGGTCTGTCCCATGGCAGGGGGCTTCCTTTTTGCTAACATTTTTCTTTGTCTTTCTATTTCTTCCCGCTGGGAATTTATCCTTTCTTGTTGCCTGGAAAGAAGGAGAAATAAAGATGAAGCAGAACAACTAATGGTATGTACTCAGTTGTCTTCGGGATCTGCTCTCCCCAGACTGGAACGATGCGTTTCAAATCTGCTTTAAGATTAGTAACTAAATAGTTTTGCCCAGAAAAGGGGGATGTGCCAAATATTGTGAGTCAGATTTCTTAAAAACATATTTTTGCATAAAAGGGGATTCTTTTCCTGGCCCACAGAAACCTTTCAGTAAGTGAAAGGTTTTATTCATGCAGAGGATATCCAAACCCAAGGAGTTGCTCACCTCACGGAAAAGCCAGGGATCCATGGTAAGTCACTAACTTTCCACACACTCCTTCCTAGAAGGCTCTGTTCTACATCTCAGACTTGCCTGTTAAAACTGTTCCTGAAGTCTGGCACTGTCTGAGAAAGTACCCTTATACTTCAAGGGTACAGTTAAACTATCCCTAGTTCTCTGAATTTCACTAAGTTCCCAATTTCACTAAGAAAACAGTCTCTCCTCCAAGATAAAAAGACTATCTTAGGACATCTTAGAGTGATAAAAGCAATCTTGGAATGTCAAGCCTAAATGACTTAAGCATTTACATACTTAATTCACTTTTTAAAAGAGACTGAGGCTGCAGGTAAATATTCCAGAGGCATTGCTTCCATGTCTTACAGCACATGGAATTATCAAGTCCTTAATTTGCACCTAACAAGAGTTGCACCTCCCTATCAGACTACAGAGATGTGATTTTGAAAGATCACACACAGCTCTCTCTAATGCAACTAATTTGCCAAGTCCTACTTAAAGGTCTAGGCCAGGTGGGAATTCACTGGATATTTCCATTAATATCCTGCATAAAAGGGTCTCTGATCTTCATTTGTAGATTTCTGTAGCCCCTTTGATCACTGTTACCAGCAGGCAAAAAAAAGTTAAATAGTATGGATTTTCTCTTTTAAGCTTCTCTACGTTCTACTTAAAAAAAGGAACTAATTAGTCTTCCTTGACTAATACATGCAAGTATGCAAATAAAATTGATTGACTCAAGATACATGTGAGATTTTGGTCCATCCCTCCACCCTAAGCAGTGCACAGCCAGGCAGGGGCACTGAGAATAACCTGCAGGGCTGCTTTTTTTTTTTTTTGCCTGGAGAAGAGAAGGCTCCAGGGAGACCTTAGAGCAGCTTCCAGTGCCTGAAGGGGCTCCAGGAAAGCTGGGGAGGGGCTTGGGACAAGGGCAGGGAGTGAGAGGCCAAGGGGGAATGGATGAAAACTGGAAGAAGGAGATTGAGCTTGGACACAAGGAGGGAATTCTTCCCTGTGAGGGTGGTGAGAGCCTGGCCCAGGTTGCCCAGAGAAGCTGTGGCTGCCCCATCCCTGGCAGTGTTGAAGGGCAGGTTGGATGGGGCTTGGAGCAACCTGGGCTGGTGGGAGGTGTCCCTGCCCATGCAGGGGGTTGGATCTAGATGATCTTTAAGGGCCCTTACAACCTAAACCACTCCATGATACTACGAACTCCAACAATTTGATACAGTATCATGCCTCTGCAGGTTGAAGTGTAAACATATTTCTCACTTCAATGTGAAAACGTTCCCCATTGTCAGAGTTCCTATCTGATCCTTTCACACACCAGTCTCACCATTCTCACATTTTGACATGCAAGACCACACACAACTGCTTAGTTTTTCTGTCTTGGAAGGTAAAGAGAGCTCTGTCCTCACTTGATGAGGTTCTGGAAGGCATAGCCATCTGTCCACTGCTCAGTGAAGGATGCCCCATGCCGCACTGTGGTGAAGTGACCAAGCCTCAATCGATCCTGCATGCTCTTATCTCTGCATGCCATCTTCTCCTGCTTTGACTGCAAACAAAACAAAACACGTGTTCAAACACAAGCCATAAATCAGCAGCCAAGAGCTGTGCTGTGTTTTAAATCACTACCAATTCTTTACCACCTTCCATTGTTTCAGTGCTGCTTATCTGAGAAGAAAACCATCGATCACGTTATTGCTGGTGCTTCACACCAGCCTGACAAGCAGCTGCTTGACAGCCTCCTTTCTGACATCTCAGCCTCACCTTTCCTTCCCCACTGCTGCTTGGGCAGCTCACCCAGTCTGTCATTAGCTGAAATCAGTCTAGCAGGAGGATTAAAACTATCCCTATCAGTAGCTTAGCTCCACATGTGGCTCTAGTCATTCAAAGAGGAGATGAAGGAAGAAAATACACCTGAAGACTAAGATGCAGCCATCGGGTAGCTCGGTCCTAGACCTGCAGCACTCCCAGAACTGATACAGTCTCAATTAGGTCACTGAGACACCTAAAGACTGGTGGTGCTGTCATTGAGTGCTTCTGCTAAGTGAGAGGAAATTTCCAAGGCCTGAGATGAGAGCAGCAAAGCTTCAGTCAGTCAGGATTAAGGACGAAGCAGCAAAGCTCGTCACTGGACCTACACACCATCGACCTGAGCACCAGGTCTACTTAACACCTAGCCCAGAGTTACAAATCCTCCCAGAAAGAAGTCCCATTCAGCCAAGAACAATCAGCTCTGTGACAAAATCAGCTCAAACAGACTGCATGAACTGGCCAGCACCCTGGTAGTTTTGCCCATCCAGTGCCCACAAACAATAGAAGCAATTGGCCAACAGGTGAAGGAGCAATCAAACCCCCAACATTGTTCAACCATCAGGATATCTGGAAATCTTTCAGCACTGAAGCAGGCTGGATGCTGGTAAACAGCAGCCTGGCACTTTCCCCAGTGTCTTTACTGTGCTGTTTTCACTGTTACACAAAGCAACTATCTCCAACTTTGCCATGTGAAACAAGGGAAGGTCTAAATCACTTGCCAATGTCACAGAGCATATCTGGCAATTTCCCTGCACAATGGGATACTGCTCTGGATTGCCAGAGCTGGACAATGTTGATTTTCAGGTGAAAAAAAATCAAGGAATGCCTGCTGCATTTAGAGCTCAGACCATCTTACTTAAGCAAGGGAGATCACTCTTTGAGACTGTGAAAAGTAACCAGTCTTAGCATCACATTCCTATCTGCAGAGAAATAATTCAAGACAGAATTCCAGTTGCCTTTTATCACCACAGCCATACAAGCAGGCTTGTGCTGCTCCAAAGGAGACAGAAGTTTTCAAGGATGTGAACTGTGACTGCAGGGATGTGGAAAGTGCCCTGCTCACCTTTTCTATGAGAAGCTTCTTGCTCATTGTTACACATCTATTCAACCTCTCCTTGTACTTCTCCAGCATCTTCTGCTGCTCATCTATCTGCCGCCTCAAATCGCAGTTGGCCTGAAAGTGAAAAGAGAAGAAAAGCCTTGGACTTCAAATCACCAGAAGCCAAACTAAGCATCACCTAGGAAGATGTTTCTCCAGCTAGCCTGAGGCATCAGATTAAAGAAAGCAAAGCAGCAGGATAAGAAAAGAAGGTTCCTGTTATCAAAACATCCCAGCCAAGCTCTTCGATTTTTAACCCACTTAAACCTTAATAACCCTCTAGAAACAAGGAAATGCTGTCAACTGGTTTACATGTAAGGAACTAATAAACAAAGAGATTAAACACAAGCATAAAGGATTTTATTTTAAAAAACCCCCAACATTAAAGGCTCTGCCACAGCTACCAAGTCTCAAAATAGCTTACTCATCCTTGGACTATCCTCCCTCTTCCAGCCACAATGCTGGCAGAGGAAAAGGATGGAGTAACTCCCTTTGCACATTCAATTAAATTCTTGTTTGAGTGACTTTGCATCAGCCCTGCTCTACAGACTGTTCCCAGTAACAGCTGCTCTTTTTAACACCACCACAGTGTACAGCAGCCATTTGCACTGATAAAAAGTTTAATGTAACCATCCCCCTTCCAACCAATAAGTCTGGCTTCTGATTAAACAGTAAATGGTTAAAAAAAAAAACCAGCAACAACAAAATTCTATTTCCTGCTTCATGGATCATTTCCACAAGACCACATGAGCCTCTGTGTCTCTGAGAGCTTGTCTGAGCTCTTTTAGGTGCTGAGATCAGACGCACTATTCTCCATTCAAAGTGTTTTCTAGTCATTCTCAGCACTTCAGAAGAGATGATGCTCCAGCTGATCAAAGTTAAATCAACTACAACTCCTCCATTAAAACCAGATCCTTGATTTAAAGGTACTTCTCTTTTCCTGAAGAATGCTAATGGGTTAAGAGAAGCTTTATTCCTTAGGTTTGACCAAAAGATGTTCTCCTCATCCCTATACATGTTGCTGACTCTCATGAATGAGCATTTCAGAACACACCCTCCCAGTCTACTGAACACATTACTAAACAAAAAGCAGAGTCAGCTCCTCAATATTTAGAAGAAGGGGATAATTCTGCAGAGAAACATGTTAGGTTAGCTAGCAATATACACAGAAAGTGTGCAACAGGTCAAAGAAAGGCTAACACACTGCTGAGTACACAAACATCTGAGCTAAAATAACCCTGCACTCTGTAGCCACAGTCACTGCTACACTGCCTGTGGATTCAGGCAGGCCCAAACAGAGGATCTACAAGCCAGACCATTATCCTGCAGGTAAGGAATGACTTGATTTGTTTTACCTTAAGAATGCAGGTTCTACAAATGGTAGGGATACAAAATCCTGCTTTGCAGCCCAGCTGGCACATGCATTCCAGGTGTCTTTAAACAGCAGCTTTTAGAAGAGTTATTCCACTTAAATACTTACTCTTAGTAAGTCATCTATCCTCCCCTCCTTCTTCTCCAAGTCAGAGTTCTTACTGTTTTCTAGT